GATCAGATGTCTGTGATTATTGGGAACCCAGTCCACAACTGGGAAGTCACGGTATTACTCCATGACCAATAAATGATGTAAGCTTCAGATCAGAGAGTCCAGAACACACAGGAAAGAGAAAGCTAGCAAAAAAATCATAAACCTGACACCACCCCTAACCCCTTCTTCACGCTCCATATGGGGAAGGAGGAAAAACCATCTCAGCTGGGGGAGATTCAGGACGATTTCTTTTCCTGATTTTGATGAGCACGCTTTTACCTCCACTAGTCATGTAAGAACAGGATAGGCAAGAAACAGAAATACATGCATGTACAAATGTGGCAACTGATAAGACAATGGAAAAAAAAGAGAATGTATGAAAAGATCAAAGAAGTAAAAACTAGAAAATAACAGGAAGTAGGAGAAAGACACTAGAGCTCAAATATGCACAAATATGCACGTATGTGCCACTGTCTGCTAGAGAAAAGAAGGAAGCAGAGTCTGGAAAGAAAGAGAACAAAAGCAAGGAATGCAGTAAGTCAGGACTTCCAAGATGAGTAAATAGTCAGCCACTCTCTTATACTTGCTGCTGTTTCCACACACCTCAGAAGTACTTGGCTAGTTTATAACTAGTGCTATATCTTTCAGGCTGGAGAGTAATTTGCTGACACTCAGGACTAGGTAAAACCACACCAGTTTAAGTAGATCGGTTCTAGGTGGCTCAGGTAACCTAGAGAAAACACATACCAGAGACTTTAAAATATAAAATCTCAGGTCACAGTCAACATTTTACCTTATTTCACGTTCTTTGCCTTAGTGGACTGGCCCTGGTGAATGTAAATGCTTGAATGAGATCCTATTAACACAACATAGCTTTTTCCCTGACAGGCAGGTTTAGAAGCCAAGAGATTCAGGATATATATATACACACCTCAAACCAATTTCTTCTTGTTTTTTCCTACACTGCTTCTAGACAGCTGAAGTGCACTTCAACAGACACTTGCCACAGAAGTGATGGCAAGTTCAACGCCAACACCACCAATGGGTTACAAGTTGTATGGTTACAATGCAAGTTATTTGAAGTGATACCCTGGGTATCATCTGTTTCTGTTTATTCAACTCTGAGGTTGACAGTGAATGACAGTTTTCATTCTGCTTTTGCTGGCATTTTAGAGAACTGAGCTTTCCTGCACACTAAAAGCACTGACTTTTGCAGGGAAATAAACAAGGGAAAGTGAGAAGACAAAGTAATGCGTTTCAGTGCCACCAAGGAGTGAAGTACTGTCCCCTTACTGATCAGATTCCCCAACAGAGGGATTTCAAAAACCAAGAAAGACCATAAAATACAGTGGGATCCAGGAATTACAGGCATGATTGAGGATTACTACTCCAAAAGCCTTGGCACTTATTCTTTACAGAAGCATACCACTGCACAGAAAAACAGAAGCAGTATTCCCTTTTGCTGCATAAAACTGAAATCCAGCAAAACCACTGATATTTTTAGAGTGTAAGTTTGAAGCCTTAAGACTGCCTGAAAGATAAGTTGCTTTAGCAAAGTCCTGCAGGAATCTATGAGGACTCTACACCATGTTCCCATTTAAATGTTTTAGCACAGTACTGCTTCAACTGAAGAAATGCAAAGATAGCATTACAAAAAAAAAAAATAATTCCCACCCTCTTTTCTTTATCACGGGAGTTTCCCGTGCCCTGAACAAATCCAGGGCTGTTTTTTGCTGTCCAGTTTCTCCCTTCCTCCCTCCCGCAGCTTCCTACCAGCTGAGATTCTGCAGCTGCAGCAACAACAGTCCATCTGTGACAGTGCAACCACCTCGGCAGGATGACTCCTACCATTTCACTGACTTCCTTATGCTTTAACAGAGGTAGCAAAGTCTGAAGGGGCTTCACCCTTCTTTTTTTTATTAAACTGAAAAGATACTGATGAATATTCATTACTAGTTCTCTACCAAGGGCATGAATTTTATTTAAAGGACTGGAAGGGAATCGCAAATTAGGCTAATACAATAGGAGATTTTAACTCAGTTCTCTGGTCTTGAAATAGAGCTAAAGAGTAAGATTTTTGTGGAAAAGTGACTTAACGAGAGTAAAATAAAAACTCTGCCCAAAGCCACCCTGCTCCATGGCTGTGATTCCACCACCTGCCACAACACCTCACTGTAACCCGCGGGTTTATTGTGTCACCGGGGCACTCACTCACTGGTGCGAGTCTCCTGACCACACTTTTAAGTCCTGCACCTGGCAGGCCACATCCTGAGCCAAGGTTTACCAAAACCCGGCACATTCATGCTAGCCTACAAACGCTGTGCACAAGTGGTTCCACCCTCCTCAGCCAGCGCCGCTGCTGGGACACCCCGCAGCCAGCCCCTGCTTCCCACAGCTGGGCAGAGCTGTCTGACCCGCGTTTTTTGGGAGAACACGGAAGAACTCCGATTTCAATGCTCATCACCTAGAGGATAAGCTTCCAGATCAAGTGGTTTTTAACAAAACGCAGGCACATAAACAAGATCACCTTTTTTACCTGCAAACAAACCCTTTCGCCCCTTCCCAGCAGAGAGCGATCTCCAGGCTGCCCGCGGAACAGCAACCCGCCCGTCCCGGCTGCGGCCCAGGCCCGCTGGGGCTGCGGGTCCCGCCGCGGCCGGGCGTGGGACACAGAATTGTGAGGGCTGGAAACGACCCCTGGAGATCATCCAGTCCCATCTTCCTGCCCCGGCAGGGTCGCCTCGAGCAAGTGACACAGGAAGGCGTCCAGGTGGGTTTTGAATGCTTCCAGACAGAGACTCCACGACTTCCCTGGGCAGCCTGTTCAGTGCTCTGCCTCCCTCAACGTAAAGAAGTTCTTCCTCTTGCTGAGGTGGAACTTCTTGTGCTTTACTTTATGGCGACTGCTACTTGTCCTGTCACTGGGCAACACTGAAGAGTCTAGCACCGTCTTTTTAACATCAACCTGAGATATTTACATACATTAATGAGATTGTATCCTCTTTTCACTAGATTAGAAGAGCTCAGCTCCCGCAGTCTCTCTTCATGACAGAGATGCTCCAAACCCCTAATCATATTTGTGACCCTCTAGAGAAAGACAGGAGCTTCTTTCTCTTACTGAGGAGCCCAGAACTGGACACGACTCGCAAATACGAGTCGGCTCCGGGAAGCGGAGCGGCAGCGGGCGCACACGCTCAGCACAGCCCAGAACAGACGGACAGACAGACAGCCGGAC